GTGTGCTTCATTCATCTCCCCCCTCGTCCCATTCAACATTCTTGCTTCACTCCCCTCTCACATCTTGCTGCACTCCCCCCCCCTGCGGCTGCACACTTTCACTCACCCTCTCCACACTTACATTCTTGCTCACTCCCCCTCTCCACACTTCACATTCTTGCTTCACTCCCCCTCTCTCACATTCTTGCTTCACTCCCCTCTCCACACTCACATTCTTTGCTTCACTCCCCCCTCCTCTCACACTGCACATTCTTGCTGCACTCCCCCCCCTCCCTCTCCACACTTCACATTCTGTGCTTCAACTCCCCCCTCTCCACACTGCACATTCTTGCTGCACTCCCCCCCCTCTCCAGCACTTCACATTCTGCTTCACTCCCCCTCATCCACACTTCACATTCTTGCTTCACTCCCCTCTCCACACTGCACATTCTTGGCTTCACTCCCCCCTTCTCCACACTTTCACATTCTATGCTTCACTGCCTCCCCCACTTCACATCTGCTTCACTCCCCCCTGCTCCACACTTTGCACGATTCTTGCTCTTTCACTTCCCCCTCTCCACAGCTGCACAATTCTGTGGCTGGCCAGCTCGCCCCCCCTCCGACCTTTCAACTCGCCCCTCTCCGAACTTCACATTCTGTGCTCATCCCGGCCCTCTCCACAAGCTTCGACATTCTTGGCTTGCGACTCCCCCTCGGGCCACACTTCAACGATTCTTTGCTTCAATGCCCCCCGCGTCCACACCTTCACATTCTTGCTTCACTCCCTCGTCACACTGCACATTCTTGCTGGCACTCCCCCCCCCTCTCATCATTTCACTCCCCCTTCTTCCAACTATTCACGATTGCTTATTTGCTCAGCCCCCTCCCCATGTCTTGCTTACTCCCTCTCTCCCACACCACAGTTCTTGCTTCAACCCCTCCCCCATTCTTGATTCCAGCTCCCGCTCTCCACACTTCACATTCTTGGCTTCGACTACCCTCCTGCTCGCGGCACTTCAACATTTCCTGCTTCACTCCCCGCTCTCCACACTGCACCATTCCTGCTGCACTCCCGCCCGCCTCTCCACATGTTCACTCCCCCCTCTCGGGCACACTTCAGGCATTCTTGGCTTCAGCTCGCGCTCTGCCTTACTTCACATTTTCTTGCTTCATCGCTCTCCACACTTCACGATCTTGGCTTCAGCGTCCCCGCCTCTCCACACGTTACATTCTGCTTGCCACTCTTCCCTGCTCCACACTGCACAGTGTCTTGCGTGCGCTCCCCCGTCCGCCACTCTCCCACAGCTTCACTCCCCCCTCCACAGCTGTCGACGTTCTTGCTTCACCCCCTCACCCATTCTTGCTTCATCTCGCCCCCTCTCCACCACTTCACATTCTGTGCTTCACTCGCTCGCCATTCTTGAGTTCCGTCCCTGCTCCACAACTTCACGATTGGCTTGCTGTTCACCTACCGCTCCTCTCGCACGTTACACACTTCTGCTGTCAGCTCCCCTGCGTCCACACTGCACATGCTCTTGGTGCAGCTCCCCGCCCCCTGCGTCCACACTGTTCACTCCCCGCCTCCTCCACACTTCACATTCTTGCTTCACTCCCCCTCTCCAGTACTTCACCTTCCTTGCTTCACTCCCTCACACTCATTCTCCACACTTCACACTTTCACATTCTTGCTTCTCCCCTCTCCACACTGCACATTCTTGCTGCACTCCCCCCCCCACTCCCCCACCCCCCTCTCCACACTTTCATCCCCCTCTTCCACACTTCACATTCTTGCTTCACCCCCTCCCATTCTTGCTTCACTCCCCCCTCTCCACACTTCACATTCTTGCTTCACCCCCTCCCCATTCTTGCTTCACTCCCCTCTCCACACTTCACATTCTTGCTTCACTACCCTCCCTCTCCGCACTTCACATTCTTGCTTCACTCCCCCCTCTCCACACTGCACATTCTTGCTGCACCCCCCTCCTCATTCTTGCTTCACTACCCTCCCTCTCCACACTTCGTTACACTTCTGCTTCCGTTGCAGTTTTCCCTTCACACTATTGCTTCCCCAAATTTCTGTCCTCATCACACTACCGCTTCTCGAAATTTCTGCTTCGGTCACACTTCGTTCCATTCACACTACCACATATACTGCTTCAACGGCCATCACACTTTTTTCCACTGCTTCCTGTACACTTCAACGGCCATCACACTTCTTCCTGTACACTTCAACGGCCATCACACTTTTTCCTGTACACTTCAACGCCATTTTTTCCTGTACACTTCAACGGCCATCACACTTTTTCCTGTACACTTCAACGGCCATCACACTTTTTCCTGTACACTTCAACGGCCATCACACTTTTTCCTGTACACTTCAACGGCCATCACACTTTTTCCTGTACACTTCAACGGCCATCACACTTTTCCCTCTCGCACGCTCAGCCTTGCCCACAAGCTCGCTTCATTTCCCCCGCACTCCTTATTTTGCCCACACTTCCCTACACTTCTCGCTCCCCTACCTCCTCTAGTCTTAACTTGCCCCCCTCCCCTCCCCCCCGCTTCATTCCCGCTTCATAAGACATCAGCTTACTCCGATAATCCTGCTTTTGATACTTCCTTTCAACCTCCAGTGCTTCCGCTTCCCGACACTTCCTCTCTCAATACACTTCTTTTTCACACTTCAGCTCAGATCAATTTTTTTTTTTTTTGTAATTCTGGACACTTCAGCTCCCTTTGGCTTTCTATTACTTCTCGTCACGCTTATAACACTTCAGCTCGTCCACGCTTCAGTTCGTAATACGCTTTCTTTTCACATACTCCCATCACACTTTTCTCTTCACAACCTCTTCTCTACACTTCAGTTCATGCTTCTGCCCCATCGTATTTTTTTTTCTTACACGCTTCCGCTTCTCTCTTCTGGATACGCACTTCTATTCGCACTTCCGGTCCCATCACACTTTTTTATTTCACGCTTCCCCCACAATTCCCTGTTTCCCTGCTCCTGTTTTATCTCCTCCCCCACTTCCTCCCACATTCCTTCCCTGTATTTCTATTTCTCCCCACACTCTGAGATTCTCTCCCGACGCCCCTTTCTGCTTTTTCCCCACGCTCTAGTTTCTCCCCTAGACGCGTTTCCCTCATCTCTACACGTTCTTCTACAATCTTCCCCTATATTTCTGTTTTTTTTTTCCCCCATGCTCTAGTTTCTCCCTGTTTCATCCCCCCACACTCATTCTTCCCCGGTATTTATGTTTTTTCCCCCCATACTCTAGTTTCTCCCCTACACGAGGGTCCCTCATCCCCACGCATTCCTCTCCAATCCTCCCCTGTATTTCATCTTTTCCCCACGCTCTAGTTTCTCCCCACACGTGTCTGCTTCTTCTCCCCCACACATGTCTCTTCGTTATTTCTGCTTCTCCCCCACGCTCCACTTTCTCCCTGCACGAGCCTCCCTCAACTTCACGCATTTCTCTCCAATTCTTATATATTTCTGCCTTTCCCCCAAAGCCCAGTTCCTACCCCAACACGCACACCTCTAACCCACATAGTCCTCTACAACCCCCCCCCCCTTGTAATTCTGCTTTACCCCCACGCTCTAGTTTCTTCCCCCCACAATCTACAACCTGTCTCTGCTTTTCCACCACACTCTAGCCCCCCTCCCCCCTCCCCCCCCACACACACGTGCCTGCTTCATCACCACACAATCCTCCCTGAATTTCTACTTTTCCCCCACGCTCTAGTTTCCTCCCCCACACGTACCTTTTTCATCCCCCCACACGCATCTACAATCCACCGTATTTCTACTTTCCCCCCCACGATCCGGCATCCATACACGCCCGTTTCACCCTCTCACATTCCTGCTTCTAAACCCCCCCCCCTTGTATTTCTGTTTCTCCCCCACGTGATCTTTCTTTGTTTTTCTCTCTTTCTTTCTTTATCTCTTTCTCTGTGTTTTCTCTCTTTCCTTGTACACCGCTGTTAGCCTCTCTCTCTCTCTCTCTCTCTCTCTCTCTCTCTCTCTCTCTCTCTCTCTCTCTCTCTCTCTCTCTCTCTCTCTCTCTCTCTCTCTCTCTCTCTCTCAATGCACACCGTTACTAGCCTCCATTTTGTTTTCACATTATAGTTATTCCCTCTGCTTCTTCATAGTTAATCCTTCGCTGTTTCTCCTTTTAGGCAACTCCACTCAGCATCTATATAGTTGTTCCTATTATTATCCTTCTACTTTCCCTCTCTTTTTTTTTTTGTTATCCCCCCTCTACTTCTTATAGTTATTCTCTATCTGCTTTCTCTTTATAGTTGTGCCCTCTCTGCTTCCTCTTATAGTTATTATCCTTCTGCTTTCTCTCTTTTCTTTAGTTATTCCTTCTCTACTTCTTATAGTTATTCTCTCTCTGCTTCCACTTTATAGTTATTCCCTCTCTGCTTCCTCTTATAGTTACTCTCTCTCTCTGCTTCCTCGTTATGGTTATCCCTTCTCTGCTTCCTCTTATAGGTATGACCTCTCTGCTTCTTTATAGATATTCCCACTGAATTTCTGTAGTTATTTCTTTTGCATTCTTTTGCTCTCTCTCTACTTCCTCTTCTATTAACGGTTCTGCTCCCCTTCCGCAATACATTCACTTTCACTTTCGCTTTCATTTATATCTCCCACACACTTTGGTATCAAATTTATCTCCCACACACTTTGGTATCCAACTTCCTCTCCCGCACACTTTGGTATCCAATTTATATCTCCCACACACTTTGGTATCCAATTTATATCCCACACACTTTGGTATCCAACTTCCTCTCCACACACTTTGGTATCAATTTATATCTCCACACACTCTGGTATCCAACTTCCTCTCCCACACACTTTGGTATCCAATTTATATCTCACACCTTTGGTATCCAATTCCTCTCCTGCACACTTTGGTATCCATTTATTCCCCACACACACACTCTGGTATCCAACTCCCACACTCTGGTATCCAACTCCTCTCCCACACACTTTGGTATCCAATTTATAACTCCCACACACTCTGGTATCCAACTTCCTCTCCTGCACACTTTGGTATCAACTGTCCCACACACTTTGGTATCAATTTATATCCCCACACTTTGTATCCAACTCCCACACACTTGGTATCCAATTTATATCTCCACACACTTGGTATCCAATTTATATCTCCCACAACTTTGGTATCCTCTCCCACACACTTTGTATCCACACACTTTGGTATCCAACTCCCTGTCCCACACACTTTGGTATCCAATTTATATCCCACACCTTTGGTATCCAACTTCCTCTCCACACACTTTGGTATCCAATTTATAACTCCCACACACTTTGGCACACACTTTGGTATCAACTCCCTCTCCCCACACTTTGGTATCCAATTTATATCTCCCACACACTTTGGTATCCAACTCCCTCTCCCACAAACTTGGTATCCAATTTATAACTCCCACACACTTTGGTATCCAACTCCCTCTCTCCGCACACTTTGGTATCCAATTTATATCTCCCACACACTTTGGTATCCAACCTCCACACACTTTGGTATCCAAACTCCCTCTCCCACACACTTTGGTATCCAACTCCTCTCTACCCACACTTTGGTATCCAATTTAACATCTCCCACACACTTTGGTATCCAAACTCCCTCTCCACACACTTTGGTATCCAACTCCCTCTCCCACACACTTTGGTATCCAACTTCCTCTCCTACACACTTTGGTATCCAATTTATAACTCCCACACACTTTGGTATCCAATTTATACCTCCCACACACTTTGGTATGTATCTCCCACACACTTTGGTATCCAACTCCCACACACTTTGGTATCCAACTTCCTCTCCTACACACTTTGGTATCCAACTCCCTCTCCCACACACTTTGGTATCCAACTTCCTCTCCACACACTTTGGTATCCAATTTATAACTCCCACACACTTTGGTATCCAATTTATCTCCCACACACTTTGGTATCCAATTTATATCTCTTTGGTCCACACACTTTGGTATCCAAATGCACACTTTGGTACCAACTTCCTCCACACACTTTGGTATCCTCCTCCCACACTTTGGTATCCAATTTATACCTCCCACACTTTGGTATCCAATTTATACACACTTTGGTATCCAATTTACCTCCCACACACTTTGGTATCCACACTTTGGTATCCAATTTATCTCCCACACACTTTGGTACACTTTGGTATCCAACTTCCTCTCCCCACACACTTTGGTATCCAATTTATATCTCCCACACACTTTGGTATCCAATTTATATCTCCCACACACTTTGTATCCAATTTATCTCACACACTTTTGGTATCCAACTTCCTTCCCACACTTTGTATCCAAAGCACACTTTGGTATCCAATTTATACCTCCCACACTTTGGTATCCAATTTATACCTCCCACACACTTTGGTTCACATTTGGTATCCAATACCTCCCACACTTTGGTATCCTCTCCCACACACTTTGGTATCCAACTTCCTCTCCCACACACTTTGGTATCCAATTATCTCCCACACATATCCAATTTATATCTCCCACACACTTTGGTATCAATTTATCTCTCCCACACACTTTTGGTATCCAAAACTCCTCTCCACATCACTTTGGTATCCACTATCCTCTCACCCTTTAGGCACTCTTTTGTATCCAATTTTACTCCCACACACTTTTCTTATATACCCACACACTTTGGGTATCCACTCCTTTCCACACACTTTGGTATCCAACTTCCTCTCCTGCACACTTTGGTATCCAACTTCCTCTCCTGCACACTTTGGTATCCAATTCTTTACTCACTTTTGGTATCCAATTCTAACCTCCCACACACTTTGGTATCACCTTCCTCTTTTCACTTTGTATCCAATTTATACCTCCCACACTTTGGTATCCATTTATACTCCCACACACTTTGGTATCCAATTTATACCTCCCACACTTTGGTATCCAATTTATACCTCCCACACTTTGTATCCACCACACTTGGTATCCGTATCTCCCACACACTTTGGTACACCTTTTGGTATTCCAATTTTACCTCCCCACCACTTTGTATCCAATTTTACCTCCCACACACTTGTGGTATCCAATTTTATACTCCCACACACTTTGGTATCCAATTTATACCTCCCACACACTTTGGTATCCAATTTATACCTCCCACACTTTGGTATCCAATTTATACCTCCCACACACTCCAATTATACTCCCCACACTTTGGTATCCAATTTATACCTCCCACACACTTTGGTATCCAACTTCCTCTCCCGCTCACTTTGGTATCTCCCCACACTTTGGTATCCACTCCTCTCCCACACACTTTGGTATCCAATTTAGTCATTGTACACCCTTTGGTATCCAACTTCCTCTCCTGCACACTTTGGTATCCAATTTATATCTCCCACACACACACTTTGGTATCCAATTGTCATTGCACACCCTTTGGTATCCAACTTCCTCTCCTGCACACTTTGGGATCAAATTTAGTCATTGCACACCTTTGGTATCCAATTCAGCAAACCACAATTGTATCCAATATCTTCCCTACACTGGTATCCAATTTACTCCTACACACTCTGGTATCCAATTTGCCCTCCTACACCATTTGGTATCCATTTTAACTCTTTGCACTGTCTGGTATGCAATTTAACCCTACACTTTTGGTATCCAACTGAGCCCTTCTATACATTTTAGTATCCAATGTAGCCCTTCTACAAGCTTTGGTATCTAATTTAGCTGTTATACACACTTTGGTATCTAATTTAGCTCTTCTACACACTTTGGTATCCAATGTAGCCCTCCTACATATTTTGGTATCCAATTTTCCCATCCTACACATTTTGGTATCCAGTTTTCCCACATCGTTTGATTTCCAATTTTCCCTTCCTACACACTGTGGTATCCTATTTCGCTCTCCTACACTTGCTGGTATCCAATTTACCCCCCCTACACAGTTTGATATCCAAATCTTTTCCATGTTACACACTTTGGTATTTCCAATACTTTCTCAGTATGCGTCTTTTTCACTTATGTTCCCCATACACAGCAAACCCTTTCTCAATACACTTACTCGCTACACACTCATTTCCGTAATTTTCTTCCCCCTTATAGTCTCCTTTTTCGTCACATCCATTTTATCCTTTTCCCATTTTCCCATTTCCCTTCTAGTGTTGTTTTACCTGGATTACTCATATGCTTTGGCTACTCCCATGGGTCTTTGGTACCCCACGCTCCTTCCCTTGTGCACGACCTTGTTTACCTAGTTTGGTACTTCTTCCTCTGCATTTCTGTTTCAAAAGAGACCTTTCCTCCTGTACGTTCTACCTGTACGTGATTTTATCCCCATACACTTCCCTCTCTCTCAATACGTTAATTTTCCTCCTCCATAACTTCGGATTTCTCTGTATTTATTCTGCTTTATTTACGTTACATTTCCCCTTGTCTACTTCCTTTGATTAAATGTCCTCATCTCTTTCCCTGTCCCCTTGGAAAAAGTAGCGAGCAGACACTAGGTCTCTATAAACGTCAAAACGATAAAAGACACCTACCCTGCTGAGATACTTCTTCGAATGGCGCACGCTCTGCTTCTTTTCCCTCAGTTGAATAGCATTTCACCACAAACTGCTACTTCTCCCATTCATATAGGTCTTTCAACGTAACCGTTCTTTCCGCACGAACTTCTGAAACAACAAAAAGATTTTCTTCACCTTTCCTCTTCAGCGTCGCCTCGTGAACACACAGAGTGCGTTCCTCCTGTTCAGCACAAAGCCAACCTTGCTATCCAGAAGGTGAACGCTTACACAACTATTCCAAACCCATACAAAGGCGTGGAACGTGCATGGTATTTTTTTTTTTTTTTTACATTTTGAATGTTCTAATCCTAAGGGGTAAGTCGTATATATGTTTTTTTCTGATTGCTAACAATTTGTGGTTGTTTAGATCTCTGCGCATAACTGTGCCTCTCATCTTGTTTGATTTGGGCTTAATATATTTGTATTTTAAAACGTTGACCCGAGCTTGACATTAGGTTACGTGTCTGGACTGTTCTATGATTTACATCGTGGAATTCGCATTTAATCCCTATTCCCGATGTGATTAGGTGGATTTAACCCTCGTTTGTAGAGCTTCCATAGATCCTTATCCTTATTATGCTAAGAAAATACCTTTTCTCGTTACATGGCGAAATGGAGTCGTTTTGCATGCTATGTAGCCGTTACTGAGATGGTTTCGGAACTGTTAAGGACGACCTGACACTAAATAGTATGATTGTAATGCAATTTGGTGAAATGTACTGCATTATTGGGAAGGGAAAAATGTTCTGTTTGTGGGCTTGGTGTGGAAACGGAATGTCGGGCTATAGTAATTAGTAATTAGTCCTAATTGCTTTATTCGGGCAGTTTGTGCACTAAAAGATTGTTACACGCTGATCGATTTGACATTAAATTAAGATTAATTAATTGCATCAATCCATGTTAGTGAACGTGTATTAGAACACGCATGTGTTAGTTATATGCTTCATTTCACACTGGAACAAATGGTATGCATCATTTTAACTTAAATGGTTTGGGATTAACTATTCTTTAACTATAAATTTATAGAAAAGTCTGTCGGGTTAAGTAAAACAGAGGACAAGGAACCACACGCATGTTTTTTTTTATCATTTTTTATTTATTTTTTTTCGTACAATTTTCCTCCTGTTCGCACCCCGCTATATTTTGTTAAAAGGGGCACACATAAATCTTTTGCTTTGGGTGATTAAAAGAATTTATATAGGCGTAGTAAGCTTTAAAACAAAAATTTTCCTTTTTTACCCTTGGCTTGAGGGATACCTCTTCGAAATGGGGGGCACGGCCAAGTTTTAAAATTCTTTTGGGCCCTATTTTTTTTTCCCACCCAAGTTTTTGGGGAAAAAAAAAAAAACCATTTTCCCAATTTTTTTTTCACCAACCCAAAAAAAAAAAAAAACTTTTTTGGTCAGAAATTTAGGTTTNCCAGAAGGTGAACGCTTACACAACTATTCCAAACCCATCAAAGGCGTGGAACGTGCATGGTTTTTTTTTTTTTTTTTACATTTTGAATGTTTCTAATCAAGGGGTAAGTCGTATATATATGTTTTTTTCTGATTGCTGACAATTTGTGGTTGTTTAGATCTCTGCGCATTTAACTGTGCCTCTCATCTTGTTTGATTTGGGCTTTAAATATTATGTATTTTAAAACGTTAACCGAGCTTGACATTAGGTTACGTGTCTGGACTTTCTATGATTTACATCGTGGAATTCGCATTTAATCCCTATTCCTGATGTGATTAGGTGATTAACCCTCGTTTGTAGAGCTTCCATAGATTATCCTTATCATGCTAATACCTTTTCTCGTTACATGGCGAAATGGAGTCGTTTTGCATGCTATGTAGCCGTTACTGAGATGGTTTCAGAACTGTTAAGGACGACCTGACACTAAATAGTATGATTGTAATGCAATTTGATGAAATGTACTGCAATTATTGGGAAGGGAAAATGTTTCTGTTTGTGGGCTTGGTGTGGAAACGGAATGTCGGGCTATAGTAATTAGTAATTAGTCCTAATTGCTTTATTCGGGGCAGTTTTGTGCACTAAAAGATTGTTACACGCTGATCGATTTGAATTAAATTAAGATTTAATTAATTGCATCAATCCATGTTAGTGAACGTGTATTATTAGAACACGCATGTGTTAGTATATGCTTATTTCACACTGGAACAAATGGTATGCATCATTAAACTTAAATGGTGATTAACTATTCTTAACTATAATTAGAGAAAAGTCTGTCGGGTTAAAGTAAACAGAGGACAAGAACACACGCTGTTTTTTTATTCATTTATTTATTTTTTATCGTACCAATTTCTCTGTTCGCACGCTATATTTTGTAAACGGGCAACATAACTTTGCTTGGGTGATAAAGAATATATAGGCGTAGAAGCTAACAATTTACCTACCCTGCTGAGATACCTCTTCGAATGGCGCACGCAAGTTTAATGCCTATTTTCCCCCAGTTGAACATCATTTCACCACAAACTGCTACTTCTCCCGTTCAAATAGGTCTATCTACGTAACCGTTGTTTCCGCACGAATTTCTGAAACAACAAAAAGGTTTTATTCACCTTTCCTCTTCAGCGTCGCCTCGTGAACACACAATCTGCGCCCTTCCTGTTCAGCACAAAGCCAACCTTGCTATCCAGAAGGTGAACGCTTACACAACTATTCCAAACCCACACGAAGGCGTGGAACGTGCATGGTATTTTTTTTTTTTTTTTTTTTTTTTGGCATTTTGAGTGTTCTAATCCTAAGGGGTAAGTTGTATATGCTTTTTTTCTGATTGATAACAATTTGTGGTTGTTTAGATCTCTGAGCATCTTATCTTGTTTGATTTGGGCTTAATATATTTGTATTTTAATACGTTAACCCGAGCTTGACATTACGTGTCTGGACTGTTCTATGATTTACATCGTGGAATTCGCATTAAATCCCTATTCC